GTTTATGCACTGGATGCGTTTTTCCGAATCGTAAGTGTTTTCCGACTAATGATTTGCATGTCCTTGTGATCATTTTGATCTTGATGCTTACCTTTACACTGGCAGATAACGGCATAAAACATATTGGACAAATATCACCTGACCTATTAGTACCTAAGCAAAAACACAAGTGCATGATGGAATGTCGAGGCAAATCATGTAAAGAAGAAAGCATTTTCCGGAGAGATTACAACTGCAATCAATATAACTGACTTTCATCATTGACGGTTTAATTTGTTTCAAAGACTTGAGTTGCATGCTGACAACATAGTGAAGAACGTACGTGTTTGGACATAAAGTAGAAAATTGATCTCGCACCACAGTGACCATCGTGGGAACGTTTGTTTTTAGGACAGCGTGGCCTAGTGAACTGAGGCGCCGCACATCATTGTGCATAGTTACCTTCATCTCCTGTTTGTGTGAAGGACTCTCACATTCGTCCTGTTCAGTAGTAACGGTTTTCTTCCTGTTTCCTCCTAGAATAAGCTGCAATAATGTTCAAAGTGGCATTGTACCTAATTTATTTTCTCGCTGTTTCGTATAAAAATCCATCAAGCCTGTTACCAAACCGATGGACGTCAGTATGTCACGTGATTACGTTGTCAATCTCGCGGAGACCTACAGAATTACTTTAGGGGAACTTCAGTGTTTTAAATTATCATAAAAAATAATTAGGGAAAACTGAGAGCGACATACAAATCATGTATATGTCGAGTCATGGAATTTGCTCACATGAGGCACTGTCTTCATCAGCTGATGAACGTCAACAAATACAACTTCAATCCTTCAACTTAGACCAATAACTATGTTTCTGTATGATTACTATTTTTTCAAAACAATGTGGTGGTGATTACTACAAGATTGTTCTTACGATTATAAATTACCTATATATTTACATACAGTAATATAGAATAAAGTTTAGCATTTACAATACATATTTCATCATTAATTTCAATTGCATTCTCTCTCAGTACAAAACAATACTTTCGTTCGAGAGAGTTGTGTTATAGATGTTGATTGTTATCTTCCGTGTTTTTTTCGTTAAGTACGTTCTATTTCCTGTCACAGTTGATGTTTTGGCGCAGAAAACGACAAGAAAATCACTGTTTTGTTTTGTGCTCTTCAACCTTCTGACATTCCTAGAAGACCAACACCGCGCAACCCATTTATCAATCCTAGCAAGAATAAAGATTAAAAGGTGGGATGTTCTACCTCCGATCCATAAGTGCAATGATTTTAGCGTAGGTCAGATTTAGGGTCGACAGTTTTACCATTCCTTCAGTAAAGTAATTTTCGGTAATGAGGGAAGGTTCGGATACAATAGCTTGAAGCGTCATATTCCCGCAGGCTAAATGTCTTGATTGAGGGACAGAATGTGCTCCTAATTGTACTTCTGCAGTCTATTATATTGTACCGATCGAGGTCGTGACACTCGGCATGCCTGATACTATTAACCATAATACATAATTCAGTTCCATAAGGAAAGAATAGTGATGAGTTCCATATGCACCTCTCCAAGACCTTCCCCTTCCCAAGCACAGTTTCACGGGGGGGGGGGGGGGGGAGGCAGTCATAGTCGAAGACGTTAAGCATAGTTTCAATCAAATGAGTAAGTCCTTGTACCGAATGAGTACGAACAGTACAACTTCCTTTGTTGAATCTCTCACTTTGGGACTTCAATATTATCAAATGAATGAAGCTGCAAGCTTTACTTAACTAAATGATTGTGTTCTTAATGTCGTCTTAATATACAATACATATCACACCGATTATCCTTTATGCACGTATGCTTGTTTGTTGTTTAACGCCGCACGGCGGTCTGTAAACAATCGAGTAAATAATTGACCAGATCCACCCGTGATTGACATAATGAGCAGCGTCCCTCACACTAGGGAAACGACAACCCGCAAAGAACCCGAGACCACCCGATCCATTAAATATCCTCTTCTTACAGGACCGCCTCCGTGGTCTATTGGTAGAGCGTCGGCCCGGAGAGCAGAACATCCGAGGTTCGATCCCCGACCGCGTCATACCAAAAGACTTTCAAAGATGGTACTTGCTGTTACCTTATCTGGCGCTCGGCAATAAGGGGCTAAGACAAGGACTGGTCGGCTCGGAGTCAGTATACTGTGTCTGAGTGGTGTATTCATGTTAAACTGCGGCATAGTATCTCAGTGATCTTGGACGCGAGTTAAATCAAATTTCCCTCACCTCTTTTCTTACAAAAATGAGTCACAGAGAAGCGATAATCATTCCAATCAAGCATCCCTACGAAACCTTTGAAACGAACAGGCAATATATTTAAACTAAAACGTAAGGTACAGTAAGGTACACGATTGTCATGTATGGCACACGGCAGGTTTATACCCGTCAGGGCCGATTAGATAATATTATATTAATTGAAGTAGATTTTTTATGTGTCTTTGACTTCAGACAACAAATACTTATTTTCTATGCACATTGCGTCAGTGGCGGTGCTGCCGGTATGAAATAATATGCATAGTATTACCCTTTTCGCGAAAACCTGGTACCATCAGTTACTTTTAGTTATCTATGCATATAGTTATCATCATTATTTTGCCTACTGTCCTCAATGGATAATCGAGACTTGTTATTCTCTAGCGTTGATGTTTTATATTATCAAACACGCCATCAATTTCATACCGTGTCTATGAATTGCTCTTAGTTCGTAACACCGATGCAAGGTCAATGCATCAAGTATTGAGTCATTTTACATCAAAGTCGCAGGCATATGGTGATCTCCTTTGAACTGTTTTCGATGCAGGGAGAGCTGCAATTTTTACCACCTGAAAAAATTCACGTTTCTTTCTCTCTTGTAGCTTTGAAGATATATCGAATGTAAGATATTGTTGAAAAACGTTGAGGATATATCGGATTTAAGATATTGTAGAAAAACGTTGAGGATATATCGGATTTAAGATATTGTAGAAAAACGTTGAGGATATATCGGGTATAAGATATTGTTGAAAACTTTGAAGATATATCGGATGTAAGATTCTGTTGGAAAACGTTGAGGATATATCGGATGTAAGATGTTGTAAAAAAAACCTGAAGATATATCGGATGTAAGATAATGTTGAAAAACGTTGAAGATATATCGGATGTAAGATATTGTAGAAACACTTTGAAGATATGTCGGATGTAAGATATTGATGACAAACTTTGAAGATATATCGGATGGAAGATTATCGGATGTAAGATATTGTAGAAACACGTTGAAGATATATCGGATGTAAGATATTGATGAAAGACTTTGAAGATATATCGGATGTAAGATATTGTAGAAACACTTTGAAGATATATCGGATGTAAGATATTGTTGAAAAAGTGGTTGCTATGAAAATGTAATTGTTAGCACTATCAGGCACGGATGTAATCAATCTTGTCTTTCATTTATTTAGTAAAACTGGCAGCATTGACTGCAGAGTGAGCAACTGACAATGTTTATTTGTGAGTGTATATTTGCTATCCATGTAAACAAGTCACCACTTCTAACCACCACATGGTTGGAGTCGCCTCATACGACAAGCATAGATTGCTGAAACCAATAACCCTAAATCTCTTCTTGGCCCTCCATGAAGCCACGACAGACAGACGGTACAAGAGTATGGGTGGTGGTTATAACATTATTGCATTCAATAGTCAATATCTTTTTAGGTATTGTTGAATGATTAGTTGCACAAATGAACAGCTGATATCAATAGAACTGTTCACACGAACACAAAAGAAGTGAATTATTAAAGAGAAAGGCTCAACTGTTGGACGAATTGATTTTGATATTCAAGAAAATTTAGGTACAAAACTGTTTTCCTTTGTTTTTGTCTTTGTCTACACGTGTGGCACAGGCGAGGTGTCTATGATGTACATGGAATCGTTTCATATGAAAATAAGCAACCTACGATTGGACAAATTGACTACCAAGTATGTTATTGCAAAGTTTAGAAAGTAATAAGTGTTTTTCATTTTACTAAACATGCATGAGGTGAAATGGTTTTTTAACGTCGCATTCAGGATTATTGCACTTATACAGCGACGTGCATGAACATTGGTGTGGGGATGCTTGTACCAGTCCAGGCTTACACCGTTTTCAAAGCACTAGCCCAGTGAGACACCATGCCGCAGTTCAACATGGATATCCCACTCAGACATTGACTCCAAGCCGACTTGTCCCTTTTTGTCCCTTTAATGCAGAACGCCAGACAGGATAACAACAAGAACCATCTTTTACACTGTTTGTTTTGACGTAACATTAATGGAACTGACAAAACGGGGCATCATTTTCTGCCGCTGGTCTAGAAATATAGATCCACCTTTGTACATTCATGACCATGGTCTTTCATCATCTACAATGTCGATAGCTTAATAGACAGCAATATTAATTTACAATGGCAACATTAAACTTCAATTTCTACGCCCGCGTGTACGCGTATCATATACCATATACCATATACCATATACCATATTTGGAACCGATTGCATGTACTACATAGGTTACAGGTGAGGTGAATACGTGGCGTCAAAGATTATTGCACGTCCATGAACGCGTGTGTGTGGAGGGCCGCTTGTACTATTCCGGACTGATGCCGATTTATAGTGCTAGCTCACTGAGATACCATGCCGCAGTTAAACATGAATACCCTTCTCAGATACAATATACTGACTCCGATTCGACCAGTCCTTGTTTTAGCGCCTTCATGCCGAGTGCCAGACAGGTTAACAACAAGTACCATCTTTGAACTTCTTTTGATATGACGCGGCCGGGAATCGAACCCCGGAACTTCCGCTCTCCGGGCCGACGCTCTACCACTAGACCACGGAGGCGGTCACATTTGTCATAAGAAAGCAAGGAAGATGAAAACCCGTTTAACTACCAGCACGATAGCAGGAGTGAACGTCGCTACATAATGTCCAAGTTGATATTCTATGTGATTTTGTTTCAGATCTGGAGATCACACGTCGCCATTACATCTGGCTAACTGTGGTGGTGTGGGTTAACGCCTTCTTCTGGGCGGCGATGCCCCTAGTCGGCTGGAGTAGGTAGGTATCCTGATATTGGCTTGACTTTTGTATATCTATGGTTGGACATACGATGAGATAACATTTCAAATGGAATTTTCGTTAAGATTCTGCGTGGCTACACAAACACTGCGCATGACTTTTGCGGTATTTCTCCGTATCTACGCAACATAACGTAGTACTACTGCGAATTATCCGCAGATATCCGCGATTTTTTTTCATATTTTATGAGACGATTAGTTGTAGTTTTAGTCGGCAAAAGCCTGGTGTATGATGACAATTTTTATTCCTTTACGTTCAACACGATCTATGATTACCTGTTGAATGTTTTTCGCTATTCCTGTTCTTTTTTTTCATATTTCCACACCAATGTTCCTTAAATTAGAAATAGATGGATTATCATGATTGTGTTTGGTACAGATAAAACGTATGAGCGTGTGCTGTAATTTGTTTCGTTTTAAAGACAGTTACAGTAGGCTGGTAAATGTCTTCACCTAAAAGTCACATATACGACCTTCAAGAACATTAGTAACCAGAAACCTCATTCCTTGAACAATAGGAATAACGACAACAGCAATAAAGAAGGACTTAAAGGATGTAGAAGTAGAATATTGCCGGCAGCCAGCTGATACTATAGATACAGTTGCACCGAATATAGCATAAGTTCTTTGTTCAAGCAGGAATGTGAGAAAATGTGTAACAATTCATGATCATTAAAATGTCAGATTGTTATCAGTTCTTCGTTTTGAGATAAGTGATGCAAGTATCTAATTTATACACACACAGACACACACGCACACACACACACACACACACACACACACACACACACACACACACACACACACACACACACACACACACACACACACACACACACACACACACACACACACACACACACACTCACACACTATTTCGAATGTAACCCATTGCTAATGAAAAACATCATTCAGTGTCATCACAAATATATAGGACAGATTATGGCACCTGCATCCCGAGTGTAATGTATCATCATATTGTGGCATTACATTATAACTTTTAAAGATCTCATATAGTTGGGCTGGACAGTATACAACATACGTACATGAATGTGGGAACTATTAAAAATCTAATGATAAAGCTACAACGGATAATGCAATATAATATTGCACATTATTCGCACACGGCTTTCTATACAATGCATCAACTGATTACCTAGCCTGCCACCTCACGCATACTCTGACGCATTACGTTTTTACTCGGAATTGCTGTTTCATATCTTTTATAAAAAACACAATTGTTATCGGAACCTGGTAATACAGCTTAACAGACAATATGTGAAAAATGTCACGTGTATGAACATAATCAGTGGCACTAAGTAAGGGGTCTTTGTAAGGAGTTTTGGTGATTAAACCTTGGCATTATTATAGAATAATCAATGCTCTTCTGTCTAGTGCATTATGTCAACATAACTCGAGTGGCATCAATATGTCTGATGAGGTTATGCATGTTTCAGATATGCCTTAGAACCGTCAAACATTGCGTGCCTGATTGATCTCCGAGTACGGGATGCTGGTTTCATCTCTTACGTCATCATGATCTTCTTGATCTGCTTCTTGTTCCCCCTCGTGGTCATCGGCCTGGCCTACGTCCACACCCTCAGAGTCATGCGTGCCATCGGGGAGGGTGGGGCACAAGAAAACGTCGAGTGGACAAATGAAAAACAGACCACAAAGGTAACGAAAGAGGATCCCATGTGTGTAAGAGTATTTGAGTATGATTACTTAACATGGTGACCACAGATACCTTACGTATCTATATTCAGAGGTTCAGGACAATGTGTAAAAAATGAAAGCAAATGCCATCTTACTTCTGTGTAACATTTGGGGGTATCGACACTGCTTTGTGCAGAGATTTCTACTGGATATGGAAAGGACAGGATGACACAAAGTTTGATGACCTGATCTATTTCAGTTGTATCTTATAACAATCGGTTACTGTGGACCTAAACTACCCAAGAATATCCGCGGGGAAAAGCCACTTTGAACAGTACTTCAGTTATTTCATGGCATGTCAGATTATTTTGGAAAGTTGAATAGGCTTTAGAATCTACCAATGCGGCTGATAAACCAAGGCTGATTTTAATCAAGGCGAATTTGCTATGAGGGGATCATTGCACGGAAATGAGACGCCACATGACAACAATAAATGGAGTTATATTTTGGCTTACGCCTGTGTACTTCATACGAACTGCAACCGGAGACTATCAGGTCGAGGTGGGGTATATATGGAGAGATTAGTATACAAGCATGTGTGTCATACTGATTTTAAGAAACGACTGTCAGAAGTCTTGTATTTTCAAACGAGGGTAATGCATAAATTCTTCCACGAGTTTAATGAAACCTGCATGAGATACATTCGAGTGTAATAAGTTCTTTATTATCCATTATTTCATATTTTGAGTTCCCCTTTGGAAAAATGCGCCGATCACCGCCATTTTAGAAAACAAAAATTGTCGAATGACGTCAACAATCGTCAGCTATGACGTTGTTTCTAGTGTCTTACGTCACAACAAGATTCGAATTACGTCAACAATGCCGTCCAGATGACGTACACAAACCACTAGTGCGCCTGAAGTGACATTTGCACTTATGTGACTAAACAATGGCTGACGTCAACACTTAAAGCCATTCTCATGACATCATACAGGATCAGGAATACAGGTTCCTGTATTCAATAGGTTTTCAATTTAACATTGAATTTCTAAGTTATACTATTGTCCCAACCAAACATCCTTTCAATCAAAGTCATGCAGTAACCCTCAAAAACAGATAGAATGGAGATGGGTTTTTTTACTGGTAGTGTATTTCTGTTCAATGCGAGGCTCCAAAGGTGGCGATGGGGGTGTTTGTTTGAATATCAGTGTATTTTTACTTCAAAGTGTCTTTTGTTTCAGATGGGGGTTATTGTAGTGATGCTGTTCGTGGTCGGGTGGTCTCCCTATGCGTGCCTTCACTTGTATGCCTTATTTGACTCCCCCTACAAAGTGACTCCTCTGCTAACTACAATTACAGCTCTGTGTGCGAAGACGTCCACAGTGTACAACCCCGTTGTGTACATCGCCATGAACAGACGCTATATGCTTGCCCTCAAAAAGATGTTCAAGTGTGTTTTCACATACAGGGACCATGAAGCAATTCAGATACACAACTTGACGTGATCGTAAAACCAGAACATGTATCATTGTTATATCCCCATATCATGATTATACCTATCACTTGCTTTCAATACACGTTTTGTTGTATGTGCACTGTCTGTTAATGTCTGTACACATTTGTTAACGTTGTTACAATACAGTAAAACCGAAAATACAGTGTCTCTTAATTAAGGCTCTGGAAGAATTCTTGGCTCAAAACCCCGCTTGCCACGAACTACGCACGCCTCGATATATTTCGCTGGCCCATCGCGGGACAACCAGGTGTCACAGTTTGTGTGTAGAGATTTGGAGAGAGAATGGCATATAATTGATATATCCATCATGTAAACGTGGAACAATATATTTGCTATGAATGTCGTACAGTGGTACGATTGCCCAAGCTTGGTTCAATACAGAACCGTTGTTTTTGATCATTGAGACACGTTCATTTCGGACTCAGGTTTTTTACAAACATTGGAAAGAGACGGAGTGTTAGACTGCGTACCTGTGATCGAATATCCTCGCTACTACCCATGCAAGTGAACACAATGACCGTATGCAGAATGCAACTATCGACTCCGTGCCTCCGTGCCTAGACAGTGACAGTCAACGCCATTCTGGAACAATCTATGAATCCACTTCAGCACCTATTCAATACGTGTGTTGTAAGTACTAATCATATTAAATTGATCAACTAAATCAGCAAAGATGAATAACACCCAATTTCATCACGTTAAGTGACAAAAGATTTAAAATCTCCCCGTAGCGTTAAGCGTGTCGGCCATTTTGACGTCCTTTACTTGACGCAAATGTATTACTGTGCACTATCACTGTGGATGACAATAGCCATTGTTCATCTGATGAAGATGTAATTCAATTAAGGATTGACTGTGTATTTTTTTCGGTTCATTGAGGTATGAATCGAATAACCAATGTGCAAACTGTATGAATCCGCGTAGCGGTTTCTTACAAAAGTTTGCACATTGGTTTTTCGATTCATACCTCAATGAACCGAACAAAATACACAGTCAATGTTTATAATTACATTCGACAACATAAAACATGTTTTATCTACAATAGTTTAACCAAAAACAGTTGTATATATCAAAACAGACAAAAATGACGAGATTAATAAACATTCCAGGTGTAGGAATACGTACTGTGGCGTGACATGAATCAGGTGATCGTTTAATTTATGCACATAACTTGACACGCCTACACAGTCAGTAGCCAATCAACGGAGAGCAGGATCAAAACAATGTTCATTGGACCTGTCAATTAAGACAAGAGGCGAAAAGAACTACAACAGTCAGACTGTAACGAACCGGAAGAAATATGTCCGGGAGAAGGCGGCTGTTTCAAATTACATGGTCAGTTACCACCAGATTCAAACATTACTTCCCTGATTACGGTAAAACACAGTTGGAAAAATGCTAGTTAGAAATGAAACCCGAAGACATGAAAGTTGAACCGTGGCGAGCAGAAAAATAACAGGCGAGCGATATTTGCAATCTCAGAAAAGAACCAAGTTCAATTCTGTCAAAAGAGTTTATGTTTACATCACTATCCCACAAGACAAACTTAAGAGAAAACTTCATTCTGTGATCCATGGGACATTTGCCACACTACGAATTGACCATAGATAAACGTATATCTCTATCTTCAAAGGTGCAGGACAATGTGTCAAAAATGAAAACAAATGTCTGAAGAAAAGATTCGATTTTATTACTTTGGTATCCTGATTGACGATGGTATATGCCCTGTATATATCTGCATTGATAATGGTATGCGTCCGCTCGGTATCTGGATTGCCAATGTCATATGATATTTTAGAAATCTCGTTTGGCAATATCATATGACTTGTAGATTGACCGGCACAATGTCAATCGTATGTACATGTGCTTTGTGCCTTTTATGCTTGTAAAACCTGCTATGTTTGTCACTGTGACAGATTAATAGGGTGTTGCCACCGAAGGGTCAACAACGTGTCTAACACTTTGTTTGAATTCTCTCCATGTGGTGGAGCATTTCACCTACAGTATCATTTAGGTATGTGTTCTGTCTTTACGACCTTTGGAGTTCATCAAATGTTACGAGCATGCAATGAGTATTATGTTATATGCATTGTGATTTTGTATCTGTCAAACATTCATAAATATGGCATTCTGATCACACAGTATGTACAGAAAGTATCACACGTGAGGAAAACAACTGACTCAATAAACATTGTCATTATTATTCTTATTTGTTTGTTGTTTGCAGTTAAATTCCAATCTTACAAACTAGGGTAACGGGTTGTGAAGAACAGTGTCCGTTGGCTACCAGGACCCTACTTTTCCATAACGATGGTGCTTAGATCTGAAAAGCGGTGCATAAATCGTTGTTTCGCCGTCCAAAGTCGTCGAGATGTATAAATCGGAATGGTTTACATTGATTATGATCAGAAATAACATCAAGACAATCATTTATTGTGATTGCTATTAATCGTTTGACATATCAATGAATATTCAGCTCACTTGTCAGATATCTTTACTGCTATTTATACACGTCTATACATTATTATATGATAATACATTCATGAGTTTCACTTAATTGACAAGAAGATCGATAACATCCGTGTTCTGGGATCTCATTTTTTATTCAAATGTCATCTACGGTGATCAAGGTAGCAAATATGACGTTTAAGAAGTCAACGAGAAAGACTATAGTAACATTACGTTGATAGGTGAGTGAGTTGGGTTTAACGCCGCTTTTAACAGTACTCCAATTATATCACGGCGTGTCAGCTTAATGTGGGAGGAAAGCCCGAAGTGATGCAGTTCTCAGACGTTTATCACTTTGGTGAAACCCACGAGCACGGGTATGGTGCTGACAAACCTAGAAACATAATCGGGGCGAACCGGGATTCGAACCCACAATCATAGGTTTCTGGCGTGCCCAAGGGACGCAACTGTGCAGTGCGAATCGCGACACCTTAGACGACTGGGCCCCCCGTGCCCCCTTTATGTTGATGGAGATGTTTTTTCCTAATAACACCGGGCGATGACCTTCGAAAACCAAGGTAAAAGTATCAATTCAGGAAGTGCGGAGTTATTATGTGAAGATCGTCACAACTGCAATCCTGGTACGTAGTTTTAACTTACCCGCTTTTATTTGGGTTTATATTCATATATATTTATATTATGACGCATCAGCGACAGAAATGTCGTCCGATGCAATTCCCTTATACCACACGTTTCCTTCTTGTTGTTTTTCAGGTGAACAATTGACTTGCCTTTGCATGTATTTGTGATGAGTGCCACAAGCGAGACAGGACGCGCTGACATGTTCACATTGTATCATCACTATTTGATAGTGACAGTGCATCATAAACACATGGTCATGACCTAGTCGGAATCATACACTGGACTTAGGTGATCATAAGCATTGACCTACGCAATTGGGATACAATGAAATGCAAAACAAACAAGTCAGCGAACCTTAAAATTGTCTTCAACAAATTGTTTCATACATGCTCGATATATTGACCTTTAATGGTACAAAGATAACAATTTCTCTGTCAAATCCGAGATACACACAGTTTCCAATGAGTTAACCTCGTGTAAGCATACTAACCTAATTTAGCATTTAAAAGCATTGCAACTTGTCAAGTTATAAAACACACATATAAAACAAGTCTCCCATTTTACAATGTGAATATCTGCAAAGTTATTGTCACCTGCCTTCAGCATTTACTTGACCATTTTGAAGTTCAGAGAATACATTCCCTAAGTTCTGCTTCGTAAAATCATAGGAGGAAGTTTTAGTGGCGAGTCTTTTAAAAACAAAACATTCCTGTCAATAATAAGTGTTAAATTTGTAACCAAAACAGACAGTTTCTATAATTGTATTAGACAGATTCAAAATTAGGAGAGAAAAGAAAAACCTGTGAGGGTTCATAAAAAGTATCCGAGATCAATTTAAGACGTTTTTCAATAATCAAGCAAATTATTGGTTTCTTTTGGTTCTATTTTAATGGATAATTAAATTATTATATGGTGGACTGTGCGAGAACTGTCATGTTTTTTATCATTCTAATAATTCTGTAGGAGTGACTTCGTGATTATCACCTTCGTCTATGGCTGCTTATGAAGCAAAACACGTCTTTATGATGTTTTCTATAAATTATCTTTCTCCAGTTAATATCACAGATATACCACGATGACGGACAGATGTAATGTCTGTTTCCGTTTTTATTACTTGATAATTATAATTTGACTTTTAAAAGTAATAGACTTATTTCGACGATCATATACCGTACCTGCAAAAATGTAACGAAATACGAGGCCAAAACTCATTTCAAGAAATGGAAAACTGAAAATCTGATTGTGTTATTGATATCATGAGCATCGATCTACGCAATTGGGATACGATGACATGAATCAACCAAGTCAGCGAGCCCAACCGTATGTGTCCTTATAATAAGAGCAAAGTGTGTATGACTACCACGGCAGGATTGGGTGTTCTTCACTTCAATGTTCATAACAATTGACTTGCCATTGCATGTGTTTGTGACGGATGCCAACAGTGGGGCTGGATACGCTCAGCTCTTCGCGAAAATCTGGTAACATTGCTATTTGATAGCGATTCATAAACACATGCATGTGATACAGTTGTATTCGTGGACTCGGCTTTCATTACTTGATAAGTATCAGTAATGGACCTTTTTCGATGACCATATACGGTACCTGCAAAAATGTAACGAAACACGAGGCCTTTCGAAACACGTTTAAAGAATGGAAAGTACGTAATGGGAAGATGTAAATCTGATTGAGTGATTGATATCATGAGCATCGATCTACGCATTTGGGACACGATTGCATCAATCAACCAAGTCAGCGGGCCCTATGCTGTTAGTCTCTTACGACAAGCATGGGTTCCTTGAGACCAATTCTAACCCGGATCTTCACGGGTGTCACGGAGCTGTGCTCCTGAGGCCAGGGCGTCATTAAATAACAATAAAATAATAATTGAAAACATGGTAAATGTTCACAGGTTTATTACTATCAGCTTATTGTATAAATAGACGACACTATCAAAAACATTATTTACACTGACACTGATCACTGATTAATTAAACAAGAATATATATACGAGCAGATCAGCTAAGCAACTGTGTAACAGTATCAAGTCATTTGATAGTCTTGTTGTACTTGTTCATGGATATGTAAAGAGAGTAGCTTAATCAATACTTTGACAAGACAACTGGCAAGATGCATAGACAGCCAATTAAGTCGGCTGCGACCAACTAACAAATCGGAGTTAATTAATTCAACACTAATGTGTGAATTCCCTCAACGGGCTTACACAGGGAGAAATAAACACTGGGGGCTTATCCTAAAGCCGGTCCGATGGACAATAAAATGGACGAAAAAGGCCTGAATAGCAAGCTAGCCGAACAGACTGAAGTTCAATCACTTAGACTGGCCAACGAAATATTAGACTTCCTAAAAATACACTCTACTTGACATACGGAGTATCCAGACTCGCAATCATTTATAAAGGTACTTGACCGAAAGAGTGACTTTACTCTCAGACGTAAACAGGTACTTGACCTAAACCAGGAAATCACGGTAAAGTTGGTTATCCCCGGATTACTAGAAAAACGGGATATGAAGTATAAAAACCTAGCTAATATGTTTTAGCCCAATAACACCAAAGTAAGAACTAAATTATAACTGTCTTGTATTTAATAACAAAACCTGTAGCAGGACGACCCATAAAAAGTCCAGCTATACCTGAGGGTAAAGACACTTGATTTCGCCAAAGGTTTTATACGACACGCGCGGACCTCGGAGAGAGCAGCCTCTCTGGGTCAGCCGGGGAAGGCCAAAGACTAATGAGCCACACAAAGTGTGTTTTCTGACAAAGGGAAAACCCGAATAGCAAACTA